GCTTGTTTTCTATTTTCAAGGCAGTCTTTTAGTCCTGCGCCATAACTCCTATTTATGTTATTGGGACTTATGTACAAAGATCAAGGAAGATTAAGGCAGTTCACCCTACGTGCAGTCTTTGCACATCCTCAAACCCAACTGCCACTGAAGTCAATGCACACAGCAGGGCATTATGCACTCCCAAGGCCTTAGGGTCTTACTAGAATAGTCTCTGTTATTGCAGACTTAGTTTTAGTATATCATCCAGTAACTGCAGTGGAATCTTAGACAACTGTAGAAAATGTCTGCCCACACCTACCATATCAACTGCATCCATTAAACAAAAATGAAAACACACTGTATAATAATGAAGCGATTTCTATTTTTAAAAAGAAATCAAAACCAGTCCCAATTAAATTGCAAACAAAGGTAGAACTGGAATCCACAAAATAGGGTAATGTTTAAAGTAATCAAAGTAAAATCAGTTCAATATTTTTCTGCTGTATTTTAATTCATGTACCCATATTTTTAAAGTCCCTGATACTTAATTTTGTTTTCAGTTGTATGTTTTTATTTGAATTACATATGGTGCTGTGATAGGATGTTTCAGAAAATCATAAAGTGTTCCTGCCTGTAAAAGCAATGTCCTTTCTTCTTAATGCCAAGAATGCTTTCCCCAAAGCACTCGTTCCCTGATCAAGACACTGTAGCCGCTAATGAGGAAAACACTGCAAGTACCTCATTCAAATGTTTTCTTTTGTTCATCTACAGGGAGTTTACTCTGTAATAGTGAAGAATCCCTGAGTATCAATGAGTCTGAAAGTGCTCATATTCTGCCAAGAATAAAGTTGTAAAGCTTTGTGTGCCAACACTTTAAATTAATCTAAAATAATGCAAAGGGGACTTTGTCATCTTGGATCGTTTTTACAACCTCATTGTTATTGTCTCAATTAATAAGAGTGTTCCATATCATTGACATGGACTCCTTGTTCTGTTGCCAGTTACAGCATCAGTGGTTGACATCCCTCTGAAGACATATGTATAAGCTGATTGGGGGTACGGGGATATTAGCATGGGGCAAAACATATTTTTGCATGTGAAGCTTTATGACATATCACTGGTTTCGAAAGCAGCTTTGCTTACTGGCATGTTATTCCTTGAATGCCATTTCATGTTCAATGCTAATCAGTTCCATTCGATGGCTCTTATGAAGCGGATAGCACATTAATTCGGCATACAGATTGAGAGAGAACCTTTGATGGTAAAAAAGATTAAAATACCCATGCTTACATTTCAGTTTCATACATAAAACATAAATAGTGCAGTAACCCTCCCCCATGCCTTTATATGCTTTTAAAAATCTTCAGATTTTCCCTATTGAATGGTGTTTAGCATCTACATCTATCATGAACTTAAACAAACAAACAAAAAAAGCCCATAATCAAAATATGCCTTCCAAAATATTTGATTCTTTTATTTTCCTATCCACAGGGCCCTTACTCATAATTCTGGTCTTGGATTTTCTCCTGAGATGCACTATACAAGTTAAAAAACAAAACAAAACAATGCCATTCCCATGAAATAAGCAGTTTAAAATTTACGTTTCTGTATGGCCAAACTGCTGTTGGTTATAAACATGTGAAATCCCCAGATTGTCCAGGATTCCATTTTTACAGGGGATACTGCATCATTAAATACTGAAGAAATATAATATAACTATCCAAACTGCTTAAAATATTTCGTAACCATAAATTATTATCCAAAAATATTTTTGAGTAGATATAAAGAGTTGTCAATTCTGCATAGTGAATGCCTCATAAGGGGCTCATTTATGGTTGAAAACTGAATAAAAGCAGTAAATTAAGAACAGACGTAACCATAGAGAAACTATAATCCACTGCAGATTTCCTTGGTGAATGAAGTATTGTTGTGTGGATTTATCCTCCTTGCTTGTACAGTTAACCAGTCACATCTGTGGCCAAAGTGCTGTCTGTGCACCCAGACAAGTTGGGTTCAATAACCCCATGGAGGAAAGCAAATGCTAGTTTACACTGTATTGATAAAGTGCAAAATGAACTATGCCAACTGTTTCATTGGGGCATGCCAGGTTCAAGGACAGATATAATATTGAATCTGTACTTCTGTGAATTGGGGACATAAAATAATGGGATATTTGGAGGAAAAAGCAGGTTTTGCCTAGGGTTTTATATTTAGTATATTAGGCCTTATATAGCGGCAGGTTTTAATAGACTATCACTGACTCCGAGTAAGTGTTTGTATGTTCTAGATATAATAATGAATGAGAGCTGCTTGAGTAATGTTTGTGAAGGGAAAGCCACTTGTTTATAAATATTCATTTGCTGAAATGTAAACAGTTTTATAGGAGTATAAATTGTTGCAAGTTATTTGATTCAATACTATTGTCTCTTCTATATTATTTGCCACCAATATACATAATGAACTGGCAAGGATAGCTGGTAGACTTGACAGTGAATCGGTTTACCCTTATTACTGTTTATTTAACTTCGTGATTACACACCAATCAGATAACTGATCTCCTTTATCTTGAACAAACCAGAAAAAGGTCAATATTCCTTTCATCTTTCTGTTCCTTCTTTTCTTATTCTAGGACTCCATCTTATCACAGGACACTCATTTTGATTTTGCATCTGGAGAATTGCATCTGTTGCAAAATTTCAGCACTATCTTATTAATGCAACATAACCCTGCTCACCTCAAACTTGTAAGTTTCTTTTCATTACCAAATTCTTTTTAATTATAAGGCATGTTTCCCACACAAATAAATAAGCCTCCTTCCAATTCTCTCTGTAATATACATGTTTAAAACAGTATTATTACTCAAGCCAGGAGGAAAAAAGCTTTAATATTTAAATGATCATGATGTTGTCTAAGTCATTTAGAATCCAATTTTCCTTACCTAGATATTAACAAGCATTGCCTAGACATTAATAATTACATCTCTTCTTAACTTAATATTATAGAAAAATATAATACCTGATGATCATTTTAGTATTAGAAGTATTCTGAAGTGCCTGAATATTTCAGAGGAAGAAGTCAAAGTTGAGTAATGCTGATGGATTTAGCATGCATGTGAATTGTAACAAGCCTGTATATAACATCTATCCTGTGCTTCTTTTGTGTGTGTGTTGTAAGTTATACCAGCTCAAGATCAGAGAAATAGTATTGACAAAAACTTGGGTCCCTTTAATGTAATAAAGAACTCTAAGGAAAGAATGCAAATGTTAAGTTTGACTTGCTTTGTAATATAAATTATCAAGTTTAAAATCACCATTGCCACTTAATGGGAAATGAGAGCGCAGGTCTATTGGCTTTGGTGGACAGGGAGTTGCATCCATTTATTCTTCAATGGTATTTTGATCTGTTGTTCCTTGATATTCGTTGTATTTCATTCTTTTCTGAGGTGACTTCCTTTTTTAAAAAAAAACATTCACTTGTGTGAACATTATCTTGCAGAACAATGGGGTTTTTTCCCCTATGGTATAGAGAATAGGGTAATTTCACTGTAATTTTGTGTTTTCTTCCAATGTTTTTCAAACAGCTCACAATTTAGAACAGTGGCTCTCAACTAGAGGTCCAGAGTTCCTCTAGGAGGTACATGAACTAATCTAGATAATTGGCTAGTTTTACAGCAGGTTACATAAAAAGCGCTAGTGAAGTCAGTACAAACTAAAATGTGTATAGCGGGGTGGACAAATACTGGCCTGTCGGCCACATTCAGTTCCCACAGGATTAACCCTTAGCAGGCCACCGTCACTATATTTACTTGCACCTCCACATCCCCACACTGCTTCCCACAGCTCCCATTGGCTGGGAATAGCGATTCATGGTCAAGGGGAGTTGCAATCACCCAAACCTGCTTAGATGTAGGTAAATATAGCAGTGGCGGCTCACAAGGGGATAATCCGGGCAAATTGCCATTGATTTATTGCTCACCCGTGTTGTACAGTCTATCAAGCAGTATAAACACTAAAATGAAATACAGTATTTATATTCCACTTGATTTATTTTACGTTGTTATGTAAAAATAAAAAAATAAGAATTTTTTTCAATAATGTGCTTGTGATACTTTTTTGTATTTTTATGTCTGATTTTGTAAGCAAGTAGTTTTTAACTGAGGTAAAATTTGGGGGCAAGACAAATCAGACTCCTGAAAGGAGTATAGTAGTCTGGAAAGTTTGAGAACAACTAACTTGGAATACTCTCTGTAACTGCCGTTTTAAAGCAGGTTCCAAAGAGTCCAGTTGAGGTAAATGGGTTTTAAATTAGGCGCTTTCTGAGTGCTGTAAAAAAGGGATTTAAAATATTTGATTTTTTTTCTTGGAATTTACTGAGAAGTAGCAATGTTAGCAGTTATCTGCTGCTTTCAAATATAATGTTATGAAACAGTTGCAGATTGATTTACAGCTATCAAATACAGATATGGGATATGGTGTTTTTGAGGTGAGAAAGATTCTCTCCATTTTTAACATTTTTTTGTCCCCCAAGGAAGTCAGCAAGACTTTTCTGAAGGGATTTAATTAAAGTGAACATGTAATTTTGTGTTCTTCAGCATGTTACATGTTGTGAAAAGGTTAGGGATTCACTTACTACAGAGCATCAAAAACATAAAGGTGATAGGTGAAATTCTCTTTGTTGCAAGTGCTGAGAAATAATCATTTAAAAGGTCACTTGCACTCAAAAAAGAACATTTATTTAATAAGTATCTTGTTTTGGGAAATGCTGCATTTTTAAAGGTTAAAACAGAGTCTAACTGGCCAACAGTGTCAGTGAGAAGTAAATCATTGGTGATTTAAAAAAAACAAAACGAAACAAAATAGCTTCTGCATATTTCTTACAAAATTCAAAAAATCTATTACTATATACAGGATTTCAACAGACTGAAAGCTCAAGCTATTAACATCAGCTTTTCAATAACTTATTAAAGCACATAAGTTTTTTCGTACAATGACATTTAATGTCTATTGTTTTGGTTTGATGTTGCAGTTTTAGCATATTTTAAAAGCAGGCAGGTTTCCCTGATTTTTTTGTTTTAGCTGTGTGTGGGTATTGTTTTGTAGATAAAAATTTGTCCAGATAAAAAAATTCTAATCTATATAAACGAAAAAAATATTTTAAGTGGATTATTGGTGAAGTGGGTTACAGATCTGCTATATATTCAGAAGAGGTGATAAACTTAAAATCCACCAGTTCACAAAAAAAGGTCCAAAAAAGTAATAGTTAATCTCATAAAATACCTGGATTATTAAAATATTCTTGCCCAGTGGGGTCAATGTGTAACAAATAACATGTTGTGAAGTTTATTTTTTTACACCCTCCTTTGAGTTCGATTTCAAATGGGCATTAATGTTCTTTAAAACCAAGCTTTCTTTTTATTTATGTATTTAAAATCTTTCGACAACACGGAGAAAATAAATCTTTCTAAATTATCCCTCATTTAATAAGATGTTACAGTTACTCATTTCTCTGCTCTAATAGATGACAAGGCTACACAACATTTTTTTTAGTATTATTGGAAATTAATACTATTTGTTTTTAATTTATTAATTTTATAGAACTGTTTAAAATGTAATTTAACTGAAAAATTAAGTTATCAATCATTTACATAAACTGAACATTATGCTTTTTCAGTGTAAGATATACAGGTGGAAAAAAAGCTCTGGTGTATACAAGTAATTAATAGTTAGAAACTTATATATATGCTTGATTCAAGAGAATTTTGTCTCAGATAAAGTCATCCTCCTTAATTTGTCATGCTTTCCATTTGAAAGAGGGCAAAATCTATTTCCTGGGCAATTTTGCACAGCAAAGATATTAATACTTTTGGGTTTAATTGTATCCTGTGTTTAAATACACTGTGGGTGAAATCCTAGACCTCTGCTTAATTGCTGTGAGAAAATAGCCTGATTTCTCTGAGATTAGGCACACGCTTATGTATACTTTGACCCAAGAGTGCCTCCTTCAGAATTAATCTTCTAAGGTAGTGGGATTTGCTTTTGTACGTGTGGTAGACCCATTCATGACAAACGGTGCCTAATAAAACAACTTCACCCTCCAGACCTCTCTTTTGCTGTCAGTTTTTCTTCAACTATTCATTTCACACATCCCTTGTCCAATTGCTTATTAGCAAATAAACCTTAAAGGAGGCAATAGAAATAAATTTAATGATTCCTTTTAATTAGAGGGCTTAAGGTTTAAATAATGTGCTGTGGAAGTGGAAATGTAAAGAATTTCCATTTGTACTGTTAAAAGCAGAGAATATCTACAATTGATCCAAACATGCTGCATGGTTATAAGACAAACTTTCTCATGTTTATTTAAAATTTATTCTCTTCTGCTGTATTTCATTTGATGCATCTATTCCATAAAAGCACTTCTTCCCATCAGCTATATCAGAATTGTTTCTATAATGCGTAACAAAAAGTTCTGGTTTTCAAATATTTATATTAGTCAAAGTTAGTCTTGTTTATAGTTTTTGGCAATAGGACTTCTTCTTTAAAAATGAAGTACTTCAGTTTAACTAAACAAAATGTGTTGAAATGGACTGTCTTATAAACTTCAGCCAAGTACAGTCGGTGATAGAAAGAATGAAGGCCCCAACCTGCAAACCTTTATTCAAGCAAGTAGTTCCTACTCATACCAAATACTGTAGTCCCTTAACTCCAAAGAAACAGTATTTGCGAGAGAATTTGCAGAAACTGACTGTAAAGCACCAATTCTGCAAAAACTTTCACACCTATAACTTTAGTCGTGTGAGTGAGCCCATTAGATTAATGACTATGAATAAAGTTGTGCATATGTGTAAATATTTGCTGGAAACTGAAGTAACAAAAGTTAGATTCAGTTGAGGATGGACTGGTGAATGCACAGCATTACTTGTTTCCAGAGTATTTAATACTCTCTCTGTATCTGTGTGATAAATATAAAAGCTATCATAAATCTATTTGATTTACAGCTGACCTGCAAAGGGTTTGATTTTGCTGCTTGCTATTTCTGCTCTTGAAGCATTCCTGGATTTGGTGTAACACTAGAAAAAATCCCAGATGAAGTAATTATTTTACTTAAAACTGTAGATTAAAACATCATATAAATCAAATCAAAAATAGTATTTGACTTCATTTAATTTATATTCTTGCCAACAGACTTTTCTTCACACTGATTGTCACTTATTTTATTTGATTTCATTCAAGTTATTTGGCTGTCATTTTCCAAATATGTGATCAGAAACAGACTCAAATGAAAGCATATTTTTGTGGTAAACCCTCTAGCTATTGTTATGGCAATAAGCCTTGGTTGGCTGATATTGAACTACGTAGTCTAGACTCTCATAAGGGAAAAACAGCCTTCATTAAACAAGCCTTTTAACAGCAAGCCAAGCTTGATTAAAATCATATACAGATGAAATCATTTCTTTACAATTCCTTTGTAGTTTGGTGCATCCCCAATAATTCTTGAGACTTAATAAAACTTAGGAGACAGCTGGGGTACTACTTAAAATTCTGTTGTTATTTCCAATTATTTCTCAGGAGTCAAAATACATAGTATATTGCTGTTCAAATAATTTCAAATGTTAGAAAGGTTGGGCAGAAGTAAACATTACAGAATACAGGAATTATGGCTTGCTGCTTGATGTGGCATTCCACGGATAAAACCTTAAGGGGAAAAAACTTTAAAAATAAACAAGAAGCATCCTGTGTGTTTTTG